CCTGCCCCCTTGCCAACAACCCCTCATGCCACAGGGCAGGTGAGCCAGCTAGGACAATGGCCCCAAAGAGGTGCAGCAAGTGGCCTGACCCCTCCCAGGTAGGCAGCTTGCCTTGGGGATTGCCCCTGAACTTTGTTCTCCCTCCCCCACCGTGGGGCCAGCCCCCCCTTTCAGAGGGGAAAGGCCACGTGCCCGATTCCCTTAGCCAGCTCTTCCCCCAGCAGAGATCTTCCAGTGCCCTGGCTCTCTGCTCCTCTTTCCGCTCTGCCAGGAGGAAGGCTTGGCCCAGGAGGAGGAGGAGGAGGAGGAGGAGGAGGACTTTGCGCTGACCCAGCGCAGCAGCCAGGTGCAGCGGAACTTGCAGAGATTATCGGGGGCTCAGGTGGATCAGAAGGTGGGGGCCTTGGTGGGTCACGGGGGCTTAATCTTCCCCTGGGCAGCCACCTTCCCCTGGGTAACACAGCTCATCCTCCCCCTGCAGGTGAGTGAATTGGTGCAATTCCTCCTGGTCAAGGATCAGAAGAAAATCCCCATCAAACGGGCAGGTAGGAGGCCTGCTTCTAGATAGCCCTGGCATTTGGGGGGGGGTTCCATGGCCCCCTTCAGGTTAGCAGAGGGGCTCTCTGGGGCCACTTGGGTTCCCCACTTTGTTTGAACCCAGCTCTGAATCAGTGGAGCCAGCCTTTAGCCAAGGTTCTTTCCCTCTTCTATATGCCTTAATTAGCCTTTCTGTAGTCGCTGCCTTCTCCTCTTTGATCGCCGAGCCCCCAGTAGGGATGTCAGTGTAGTCAGTCAGCGGAATAACAGATAAGCAAAAGTGTATAGGCTAATGCTATTGACTGCACGCATCCCCCCCCCCCAACCTCTTGCCAGTAAATTCTTTAGCAGGCTGGCCAGCAGCCTGCCTCAGTCCTGGCTTGCACTGGGTCCTACCCCTGCTGCAGCTCTGCATTTATAGTGTATTAGGAGCCAGTGTATTAGGGCAGGCAGCCCAGCTCCTTTCCGGCTCGTGCTGGGTCTTCCCTGAGGGGCTGCCGGGGGACTATAGAAGAGTCGACTAACATACGAATTCATGAGGTTAATAGACTATTCAATTAACCAACGTTTAACGTCTCTAGGCCCCAGTCCCCTCCCAGCAGGGAGGAAATGCAGGAGTCCTGGCTTCCAGCCTGCTCTACCATAACCACGAAATCCCCTCCCTTTGGAAAGCGGGGATGGACCCTTGGATCCCATGCTGGGGAGGGGGATGTCACTGGAACAGTCTCTGAGAAGTTACAATTCCAGATGTCTGGTTCTGCCACTGGAGAGGTTACCACTGGAGGGGACTTTTCCTGCTGGCAGGGGGTGCTAGGAGCCACATCTCCCCGCTTCCCCTTGCAGATATTCTGAAGAACATCATCAAAGACTACAAAGATGTGTACCCGGAGATCATTAACCGAGCCGGCAGGACCCTTCAGCAGGTGACGCCGTCCTGGAGCACTGCCAAGCACTCCCGAGTGCTGCTGTACGAGGGGCCACCTTTCACCCGCGCGAGCTTTAAGCATTGGTCAAAGCGTTCGGTTTGCTTGTCCTGGGCCAGTATTGGTCGTTCTTTCCTCGTTCCTCTTGCCTCTGTCCTCCTAGTGTCAGGGAGAGACCCCAGCCCAGCCTAGGCTTGCTCTAACCCCTAGGCCCCACTCCCTTCCCAATGTCAGAGAGAACATGAGAACGGCCACGCCGGGTCAGACCAAAGGTCCATCCAGCCCAGGGTCCTGTCTGCCGACAGTGGCTGATGCCAGGTGACCAGAACAGGAATTCATCCAGTGATTTGTCCCTGTCGCCTGTTCCCAGCTTCTGGCAGACTGAGGCTAGGGACATCCTCCCTGCACAGCTTGGCTAAAAGCCATTTAAAGAGCAACCCCAGGAGTCCTGGCTCTCTGCACCCCCCCAAGACTCGACATAAGAATGGCCAGACTGGGTCAGACCAAAGGTCCATCTACCCAGTGTCCTGTCTGCCCACAGTGGTCAATGCTAGATGCCCCCAAGGGAAGGATCACAAAGGTAATCCGCATGTGATTCCTCCCCTGTCACCCACCTCCAGAGTACCAGAGGCCAGGGATACCATTCCTACCCAGCCTGGCTAATAGCCATTGATGGGCCTAACCTCCATGAATCCATCTAGCTCTTTTTTGAACCCTGTTAAAGTTCTAGCCTTCACCACATCCTCTGGCGAGGAGTTCCACAGGTTGTGCGCTGAGTGAAGAAAAACTTCCTTTTGTTTTAAATCTGCTGCCTGTTAGTTTCATGTGGTGACCCCTAGTTCTTTCAGTGTGGCTACGTCTACACTGGCCCCTTTTCCGGAAGGGGCATGTTAATTTCAGCTATCGTAGTAGGGAAATCCGCGGGGGATTTAAATATCCCCCGCGGCATTTAAATAAAAATGTCCGCCGCTTTTTTCCGGCTTTTAGAAAAGCCGGAAAAGAGCGTCTACACTGGCCCCCATCCTCCGGAAAAAGCACCCTTTTCCGGAGGCTCTTATTCCTACTTCAAAGTAGGATTCTACGTTTTTCTTTCACGTGCAGTGCCCCTCCCACTCCAGCACAACCTGTTCTGTCCTTCCGATAGATTGTGTACCCTGGTATGACAGTGACCCATTGATTGTCCTCATTCCACCAAGTTTCCATGATACTTATTATATCCGTATCCTCCTTTCAAACTAGGCACTCCGGTTCACCCATTTTACTATTTAGACTTCCCTACGCCTCATCCTATGCCTCTGAGGTTAGCCTTTTCCCCACAGGTGTTTGGGCTGCGGCTGGTGGAGATCGACACCAAGCATCACGTCTACATCCTGGTCAGTGACCTGGTGCGCCTGGAAGGGGAGAACCTGAAACAGTAAGAAGGGATGGGGCTGGCTGGGTGCGGGGAGGTCTGTGACAGTGCTTTCTCCTCCCCCCCCTGCCCCGAGGCTTCCAAGCTCTCAAGGGTTAATCCTTGTCATTAGGCTCTACCCACCCTCTGAAAACTCCCCTGGCTCATCCCTATGTGCCCCCACCTTGCATTGTATTCCCCAGTCCCTTAGTGCAGTCTCTATGCCAGGAGGTCCTGGCTCTGTTTGAGTGAGGGAAGCCGCTCCAAGCCAGGACGCCTGAGCTCTGTCCCAGCTCAGGAAGGGAGTAGGGTCTAGTGGTTAGTGTGGGGCAGGATGTTGGGGTTCTTTTTCCAGCTCAGGAAGGTTTGAGCAGCTCCTTGCTCTGCCATTTAAACTCCTTGCCTCTTTGTCCAGAGCCCCAGGCTCCACGGAGTTCCCCAGGTGAGTGGCACCCCCTTGTGTGTTGCAGGGACCATCTCACAGCCAGGCTGGGCCTCCTCACCGTCATCCTGAGCTTCATCTACATGAGGGGCAATTCTGCTAAGGAATGTAAGGCCTGCCCCCGTCAGTGCTGCCCCCCTTGCTGGTGGCCGAGCCCCTTGACTGACAGTCTCTCTGCCCTTTCAGCTGATGTGTGGGACATGCTGAAGAGACTGGGAGTTGAACCCAGGTAAGGGTGGGGTGGGATACCGGGCCGTAGGCTGCTCCTGCTTGGGGCACCAGTGCCCCTTTAACATGCGCCCCTCCCCTCCCCTCCCAGAAAGCCACACAAGCTCTTTGGGGATGTCAAGAAGTTGGTGACTGTGGAATTTGTCCAGCAGAAGTAAGTTGGGGCTCAGGGAGGGGAGTAGTTGGCGAGGTGTGGGGGAGCAGGCCTCCGGGAGTCCTGGGATGGGCGTGAGGGCTGGTGGGAGCGGGGGTGACAGACTGGCAGTGAGTCCTGGTGCCCAGAGCCCAGACTCTCACCAGATCTATGCCCATGGGTAGATTTGGGCCCTGCGGGAGGCGCTGGGAGGGCGCTGGGGCGGACACTTAGAATCCCTGTAGCCAGTGGCGCTCACAGCCTGGCCATCCCCGTGCCAGCAGCCTGCCTGGCCCTTAACCCTTCTCCACCAGTTGGGAAGGTCAGGTGAGCATTTTCCCTGGTGGGGGGGCTAGCCCCAAGGGTCTTGGAGAGTGGGTAGCCCCAAGGCCTTTGGAAAAGGGAGGGGGTGTTTGGAGCCTGGCTGAGGAGAAACTGAGGCACAGGGAGAGGAAAGGAGTAGTGGACCAGCTAGAGCCCTGTGTTCAAGTCCTGCTGCACCCACTGTGCCATGCTGGGAGCTGGTTACTGGCTCATGGAGGGGTGAACCCAGAGGAGGGGATGTGCTCAGTCACAGCTTGGGTGGGAATGTGATGAATTGGGTGCGGTTGCTAACGCCCATGCCCCGCCCCCTCAGATACCTGGAGTATAATCGCCTGCCCAGCACAGACCCAGCTGAGTTTGAGTTGCAGTGGGGGCCACGGGCTGCCAAGGAGACCTCCAGGATGCAGATTCTGCAATTTGTGGCCAAGGTCTGTGCCGGTGGGGGCCAAGGGACGGGGTGAGCCTCGGGCTGAGGTCGGGGGTCACTTAGAGGGGCCACGGGGCTATGGATGGGGCACGAGACCCGCGGCCCCCTGGCTATCCCGACCCCAATTCCTGTCTCTGCCTGTCAGATCCAGAGCAAAGACCCCAAAACCTGGAGCGCCCAGTACAGTGAGGCGGCGGCTGAGGTCCTGTCCTGCAGCTCTAGTCCCCCTGGAGACGTGGGTGGGGACAGCCAGGGGCCGCGCAGAAGGAAGCCGTCGGTCTCGAGCAGTTCGCCCCACGGTGCCTTGTGAACGTGCCTTGTGACCCATGCTGGGCCCAGCGCTCCTGGATCCCTGGGACAGCCGCCTTCGCCCTCCTGGCTCCAGAGCCCCTGCCCCTCGGATTTCTCCTCGCCTTTTGGGAGCGGCCTGGCAGCCTCCCGCCAGTGGGCCTAGACAGCTGGGCACGGAGGTGACCTTTGACCCTTGTAATCCACCACATGTTCCTTTCAGATGAAGTATCCCCCCTCCATTTGTGGTGGGAGTCAGCTGTCACAGGCGGGGAGCTGTCTTGGCCAGGGTGCAGTGGGGGGAGGGGGCCCAGCTGAGCCCAGGAGGCTGGGGAGCCCCAGATCGTAGCAGTGCATAGTGGAGCAGGCCTGGTACAGTCCCAGCTGCCAGGTATCTGCAGCACCTCCCTGGTGGTCATGGAGCGTTGCTGGGGGGTTACACTCAGGGCAGGTCCTGCCCCCCCCCCCATGGGCTCAGGCTCTCTGCAGTGTTGCTCGGGACAGCTCCTCCCCCGCTCTTGCTATTGGCTAGAAGCTAAGTGAAAGCCGAGCAGCGGTGGCAGTCCTGGGGCCCCCGTCCAGCCCCCCAAAGAACAGCACCGACCCCAGCCACGGCGAAGGGGAGCTGGCTTTACTGGGCGAGAGCAGTTAGTAGTGGGGGGGCACTGTCCCCAGCGCTTCCTCGGGCTCCCGAGTCACTTCGACGTTCTGCAATGAAAGCCGAGAAGCACAAGGTTGCATGCACCTTGCCTGTGGAGCCCTCCCCCGTCCCATGCCTTAGAGTTGTGCCTCAGTTTCCCCTCCCTACTCCGCTCTATTTAAACTGTTCTATGGGGCAGGGAGTGTCTCCTCAGGGCTGTGTGATACCCAGCATGCCAAGAGCCCTGATCTCAGGCAGGGGTGTCAGATGCACCCCAAGGATGTTAATTGGGGTAGCAGAGGTTACACACGGAGATTTAGTGGGATGGGAAGGGGGTTTAGGAGATGGCAGGAAGGGGACACAGCCTGGTTAGGGGGGGCAAAATGACTTTACCTGCACCCCAAGCTGTGAGGATGCCGCCAGGCCAAGATCTTCCAAGCGGGGCCATTTGTTGGGCTCCGGGCTGGCTAGAGGGTAGGTCCGGTAATGCCGGTAAAGCCGGTAGGGGGGGGCCAGGCTAGCCTTGCGGGGCAGGTGCTGAGTGGCCGAGAGATAAGAGGAAGTTATTATGGGGGCAGGCACATCTACTCCCTGGCTGGATGGGGATTAGAGGGGCAGGGATCCAGGCATGGAGGGTGTCAATGTCACATGGCCTTTTGGGAGTTTTGGGGTGTCCCTGGGCGAGATCAGGCGTGGGAGACTGCACTGGCCTAGCCCCTTGCCTGGGTGAAATGCCACTTACCCGGGGCCGGTCCCGGTGCGTGTTCACAGCCTCCACATTGAGGAAAATGGACTCCACTTGGCAACCTGCCAGCACACCATGAAGAGGGCTCCTAGGTTAGAGCAAAGAGATCCCTGCCCCCCTTCCCTCCCGGAAGTGGGGCATAGAACTGGGCCAAGGCCCCAAGGCGGGTGGGGTGACCTGCCAGTGGGATGTGACTGGGCCCGGGAGGGTCTGGCAGCAGGACCAGCCCATGCACTCACCGTATGCCACGGGGGTCAGTTTCAGCACAGTGTGCAGTGGGCATTTCAGATAGGGCAGCTCCTCTGTGGGGTGAGAAGAGGGCTGTTAGAGGGGGAGCGTGGGGGTACACACATCCGAGCCCTGTGACACTGCTGTACCCCATGTTTGGACCACCTTTAGATGGTGATTATCAGGGCTCGACAAACCGTGGTGACATCTTGTCAGCCCTGCACCGCACATTTGCCAGACCCACTGCGCATGTGCGCACCGCTGGTGAACGGGGCAACCGGCTGAAATCTATTTGCCACGGGCAAATAGATACATGGATTTGTCAAGCCCTGGTGATTATAGTGGTGTGGCACAAAAAGCCATAATCTGCCGACTATCATTGTCCTGGCGGGTTGTAACGGTGGGAACACACACAGGCCACTCTCAGGGCCAAAGCTGCCCAGCCTTGCCGGCCAGCGTGAGAGCCGTGACTTGCCCACTCCCACGTTGGGCAGGAGGGATAGACAAGGGAGCACGCTTGCTGTGAAGAGCGGGTTGCAGTAGGCAGGCCTTCCCAGGGAGGGGTCGTGGTGGAGGGGCATGTCCCTCTCCTTGCCCCCAACCCCACACGCAGCATGAAGGTGGTTTGAAAGACCCATGGATGACCTAGGAGGTTGGGCCTCGCTGGCTGGCTTGTCTCCCAGCCAGGACTGCCGACCCCCACGGGCTGCGATCCCTCCGGCTGATGGAGCCTGTGTCGCCTGGCGCAGCTGGGGAACGAGGTGGTGCTGTTCTTTCCTTTTCTGGGAACCAGCTTGGGCTGCCCCTCATGTCCCAGCTCTGCGGCCTAGTGGGCCCTGCTTTAGTGTCTGAGCCGAGGGGCTGGGCCAGGTTCCTTGCCCCTTGCTGGAATGATGCACTCGCACCATTCAGGGTGGGCTGGAGGGGTGGGGTGTCAGCCTGTAGCCGTTTGGGGGGGGCCAGGAGCAGGACAGGGTGTGGGCTGTTGAATGACAGGGACCCAGTGGGTCAGGTTGTACCCCGGGCCGTGTCCCTGTGCCAGTCCCAGTCCCTCCCCTGTGCTGGGGGGGGGGGGGGGAAACCCGGGGGGGCCCCGGCCCG